AATTACAAAGGGAACCAAGGAAAGGTAAGTGATTCTCTTCAATGTAAGGTGAAAGTGGGCCCAATTTCGCTTTGGATAAGCATTCTGTCTTAGGATCAGGGACGAAGTACTTAGTGATGTGGAAGAGTGTTCTAGTATTTGGTGGGTCTACAGAACTTTAGGAAATCCCTTGTGAATCAACACCCATATTTCATATCAAAATATGATATTTATTTCCCTATTTGTACACTAGATAATTCATCATTCCGTCTTTGTAATGGTTTTATTCAGAAGTTATATATGCTGTGTAACTGCTTTGATTTCAGACAATACTTGGAGGAAGAGTTTGTTCTTCGAGTGATGGCTCAGTTGACTCTGGCCCTAAAGGAATGTCACAGACGAAGTGATGGTGGTCATACGGTGCTCCATCGGGATCTGAAACCAGCTAATGTTTTCCTGGATGGCAAGCAAAACGTTAAGCTTGGCGACTTTGGGCTAGCTAGAATATTAAACCACGATACCAGTTTTGCAAAAACATTTGTTGGCACTCCTTATTACATGTCTCCCGTAAGTATTTCAGAATTTAGATACCTTTTAAACCTCTTAATGTTAAGCATTCAAATGCAGGGAAAATGAGTCATTTTGATTGTACGTTTAGTAATATCCAAGAACCAAAAATTAACATTGTTTCATTTTAATTTATATATTTTCCAAATGGACCACCAGACCATTAACTCAACTATACCAGCAATTCAAGTCAGGCTTTTATTAAAGGACTACCGTATGCTAAATTACAAAGATGAAACAGGTTTTGTCTCTGGCCTCAAGAGCTGTGTTTCCCAAAGTGCTGTAGGTCCTGTACACCAGCTTGGCCTCCTTTGTTGTGCTTTTTCAAATGCAGAATCCTGGACCAAGCCCCAGTCCAGTGAGTTCGGATCTCGGGACAGGTCCTTGTTCTGTTTTTCTCCTACTTTTCAATTTGGACTCTGCATTTTAACAGACTCTCTGGATGATTCTTGTGCCTGGAGATTCAGGGCTCAGAGCCTCACTCACTTCAGATAACATGTTTTTACAGTGTTAACTGTTGGTATTTGTTCTTTTTTTGTTGACTTTTCTTACAAGGGAGCTGCTGAGTCTACCTACTTATCTATTTCCTTGATTGCTGGATAATATTTTGTTTACAAAATTTCTCACCATTCTAAGGAGCACTGCTATGCATATGAATTATTCTTGCTTCCTTGTTGGTCATTTCCTCGGCAGATAGCTCTCAAAATGAAATTGCTGGGTTGGGTCAAAGGCTATGAACCGTTTATGGCTCTCTAGATTTTGTCTGATGGCTCTTGAAGAGCTTAAACCAAAAAGTGATAGCACTAGGGGTTGTATATGAAATCTGAGCATACAAAAGTGCAGAGGGGTTAATTGTTTTAGCAGTCATAAACATTTCCGGGCTTTTCTAAATCTCTTTTAGTTATGTTAACCAGTCTGACTATAGTATAAAACTTTGTATTAGTGATTTTGTTTTTCACTGACATTAGACATGGCCAGAACAGTGTCATTTTCTCACTGGATCAAATTTCAAATAGAAAGCCTTTAACATAAAGGAAAATTATACAGAAGTGGTTCTTGGAAAATTTGAAACCTACGTGATTCTTTTGTTCCTTTTCCCTCCTGCCCTTGTAATTAGATCTGTTCAGCCTTCTCTGAGGCATTGCCAGGAAATGGTATCAGACTCAACCTGTTGGGCTTAAAGCACTAGGGAGCCTCCTGAAGAGTTTGGTACTTGCCTCTGTGCCCTCTGTTGCTCCTGCGAGTGTGAGAAAGACAATTAAAATAGGAAATGAGGATGTTAGTTAGTGTGGTTTATACAGTAGACTAAGGAAAAATATAAATGAATAATTCACTTAGTCATTTATGTCTACATCCATTTAAATGTGGGCCAGATGTATGCATTGGTTATTCTGAAATTTTCTCTGGTTCTTTCAAAGCAGTTTCTAGATTATTAATGTCACTAGGGTAGAGGTCTCATACTCACCTTTGATTAGTCAGTGCCTCACCTCTAGTAACAATAAACATCGGAAGGAAAAAGAATTGAATGAATTTTATATGAAAAAGTTTATTAGGATAAGGTCATTGCCTTTTTCCATTGTAAATTTGAAGACAAAGTATACATTTTAAAACAAAAT